TAAAAAATCATGTCGGTGTTGACTGCATATCTCATTTGTTATTTGTATATAAGTTATCTATTCAATGTTGTACGCTGTTACATAATTTATTTTGGGGCACGCTGTTAGTGACCATCAACATGGAACTGCGTATCCTTTAGAACATGTATTATTTGTTCTAATAAATACAATCTAATCTAGTATATAAAATAGTATACTAAGTGTATAAATATAGTCGACGATTTCTTAATAATTTAATTAATATCAATTTTGACCATTAATTTCAAAATTTATATATATATATATATATATATATATATATATATATATATATATATATATAATATATATATATATATATATATATATATATATATATAAAATATATATATATATATATATATATATATATATATATATATATATATATATATATATATATATATATATATATATATATATATATATATATATATATATATATATATATATATATAAATATATTAGGGTGGGGCATGAAACACCAAAGTCAATAAAAAAAATACCATAATAATTTTTCTGGTTCCTTTTGATATGTGTATTAAAAATATGTAACTTTTTTTTTATGGGTACCCCTAGGGTCGGTCCCAGCAGTCCGAAAATTAGAAAATTTATAATTTTTGTAAATATTAAGGGGGGCAGGGTCACTTACAAATATTTTAAAGATATCTTAAGAGTTATTTTTGTAGCCTGATATATTTATTTTTAGATTATGTTTTGCTTTATTGCAAAAAATGATGGAAATGGTCAGCCCTACCCATTTAAATACATGGTGTTTATATTTGGAGGTAGGGGGGTGTATATTTTTACCTTTGTATTTTAAATAAAAAATATTTTTACATTTGCATTTATTTTTTAAAGAAAGATCATTTTAAAGTTTTCAACCAAGATTTTTTTTCTGATGTCTAAAATTTTAGCCGATGATCTGCAGCAACTAATAAATTAGCTTGGCTATTATCTTCGTTTCTGAAAGTTTCAATGAAGTCTTTACCAAGTTTAATAGCACGTTTTGGACTATCATTTACAACAAGAAGACCAGTGACATAATTTTTAAATCTAATATAACCCGAAAATTGTTATTTTTTTTTTCATTGTCAGTAAAGTTTCCGGAATTCAGTTTCCCCATCTTATAACTGGTGGGCTTCGCTATTTGAGCTAATTTAAGAGCTAATTTTTGTAGCTGATCTACAGATAAACATTTATCAGCAAGACAAATAACCTCAAATCTTTCATACCAATTGTGCTTTTTAAGTGATTTCAGTACAGCTTCTGCTGGTTTAAAACTGAATTCAGAATATTGTATCATTTTATTAATAGCTTTTAGATCTAAAGAAGGTGCTATGGTAAGGATAGGGGCTTTAATAGACCATGGAACATAAAATAGTGCTGTAAATGAAGCAATTTCATAAATCAGCTTTCCCTCTTGCAATGATATTATGTTAGGACATAAGTTACTGAACTGTGGCTGAAGAAGATCATTTGTTAAATAATAAACTCCCTGTGCCATAAACCTGGCATGATGTGAAGCCATTGGAAATCTAAATTGAAATTTTGTTACTTTGCCACCTAACCAAAGAACTGCTAATTGTATAAAATACTGGTAGTCATTTCTTGGAAATATATCGTTATCTAGGCAATTTTGAAGGAATGTTAATGATTCAGAAACCTAAATTTCAAAAAACTTTATTATTAAAACTTATAATTAAACACATTAATCTAAATGGGACAATTAAACAAACCTGCTTTTCCAAAAAAGATACAATTTTTATTTCTGAGTCATATCTCTTTAGGTCATCATAATTTATCTTCTTTTCAAGAATAGATTTCCAATTACTCTCCAGCCTATCAAATAACTCAGTCTTTGGTCCACTTGTTTTACCACCAGTAAGAACATTTGAAAAGAGCTAAAATATATTTATTTCAAATCGTTAAAATAAATTTTATTAATAAAGCATTTAATTCATCAAGAAATATTTATAATTAAATATATAAATAAATATAAAAATATTGTATGACTTTTTCAATATTTACCTTTATATGTAATTCATAAACGTGATGACGACAAGCCATCCAAGTTAAAGCTTTTCCTCTCCATTGCTCAACTAGAGTACAGACTCCTTTTAGCCAACCAGTATTTGTAACTGTGGTGTCAAAGGACAGACAACCAACATAGTCAAATAGCTCCCAGTCTTGTAAAGTTTTTTTGATTGCTTTCCTAAGAGACTCAGCAGTGCCATCTTTCACAATTAAAATATCCAAAATTTGGGATTCTGGGAGATCTGGTGAACTGATTAGTACAGCTGCTTTTTCAATTTTTTCTTTACCGAGTTTTTTCATATCAAACATAATTTTTGAGTCAAATTGCACAGTAAGACTTTTACCCTTAGCCAATGTAATAAAGTTGTCTTTGATATTACAGGCAGTTTTTCTTATACTTAATTTTTTCTGCCACAAAATACTTCGGTTAGCAATAGAAAAATCATCTGTCGTTCCAGAACAATTATTATAAGAGAAGCAAGAGTTGCACTCAGTGCAGTCGAACTTATTCCATATTGTGATGCTGTTGGAGCTAAATCTTTTCCTTTATTTTTTGGAACAATAAGAGGAACAACATTAGATTTTCTAATTTTCTAGAAGGCTGTAGATACTCTTCATCTTGGTTATCATCTAAAGTATTTAAAACTTTTGTTATGTTTTCATATTTCTCAGTAACCAACTCTTTCTGTTTTCTTACGGTTGCTCTTTGATTTTTTTTTTTTATTTCTCTTTTTGTTTTGTTTTTTAAAAATTTTTGTGAAATTTTATCTTTACCTAACATTTTCTGAACACGCGCTTCATTCTGGTCGTTAAGAAAATCTGCATCTTCTCTTCTAGTTTTTATATCTTTAGTTTTATCTTTCATAATAATACCTTCACAATTCTTTTGACTTACATCAAATACCTCCTCTAGCATTCTTGAAAACTGTTCCCTTTTTAAAACTAAATTTGTACTTAAATGGTTCCTGTGTTTGTTTAAATCTTTTCTCTTCTTTTCTAAGTCAACAATCTTGTCTCTAAAACAAAGGTAGAAGAATGCATTAAAATTAATGTAATTTATTATAAATATATAAAACTGTATGACTTTATAATTGTTACTTATATAACATAAATTTGAAATTGGATTAAACTAGAAACTAAAATTATTTTAATTTTATAAAAACCTGATATGCTTGTCAGTATTAATAAAAGGAATTCCTTCTTTTTGCCATATTTTCTTCACCTCATAAACAATGCATGGCAAACATTTTTGGAGACAACCGCTTATTTCAGCACATTGTGCAGTAAAGAAATCACCAAGACGACATGAAGCTATACTAACTGAGGAAATGTTTGGAAAATCACCTCTTATCATAAGATCTCTGCAATGGTAATATTGCAATACAGCTTTTTTAATTGGCAATATATATAGATATATAGTGCTCCTATTCTCACTTGGTGCAGTGCTGCTGCAAAAAGAGAGATCCAACATTTTCATAAAAATGCCCTGCAAATTATTGTAATTGATTTAACCAATTCAAGCAGGTTCAACATTATTTTTGACATTGAAGAGTTACTTGACAGGATCTGTATTAATATACTTAAAAAGATCTTTGCAGACCCATGCCATCCTATAACCACTAAATTAACTCAAACCAACAGCAGAAACCCTAACAGATTCCCGTATGCTCTTAACACTGCAAAAACTACTACTTAAAAAAAAACTTTTATTCAAAAATATCTCCGTATCCTTCGTGATGGCGTCAGTGACCTCTACCTCCGAAGCAATATTGGAAGCTCTACTGCCTTTTCAATGCATAAATAATATGTTCCTCCCCTGTATTCTTAGCAAACTACTAATACTAAAGGACAGATAAAATTGTACAATTCATTACTTGTAATGCTATTCAATTTTAAATAAAGTTTTATGAAATAAAAAAAAAAAAAATATATATATATATATATATATATATATATATATATATATATATATACATATATATACACATACATATATATATATATACAGGCCCTATCAGACGGGGAGCCACATGGACCATATGGCCTGGGCCTCCGATTTTGTTGGGGCCTCGCATTTTCAAAACACATTTGTTGAACACGAAAATAAATATCAAAGTAATTATTTTAATCTAATTATTCTAAACAATTTAACTTTAGGTTAACTTAAAAGAATAAATTAATTTCTTTTTCATAATTACACATTTCCAAACCTAAATTCGACATGGTAAAGAGTACGTCATGTAATGATGCAATTAACCCTCCGTCGGGCGCGCTTGATCAAATTGATACAATTCAATTACTTTTAACTCGTACGAGTTTTCAAGTTATGACTTAGTGTTCTGCTTTTTAGTAGCTTCATTTTTTCTTATATTTTTTAGTTGTACTTCATCAAACAAGATTAAATCAATTTGTTTTGAACTGTTTCTTATCATTTTGTATAAAATTGATATATTGCGCTTTTGTGCATTGCTCTTGTACGTTACATTTTGTAACTTTGAGAATAGTAATACTTTTTTGTTCTGGTAAATATTTTTTAATTTTTAAACATAATTCGTTTTATAAATTTGTAAAAGTTCGATTGATGTATAAATTTATTATATTTTAAAATTTCAATATTATTTCCAGACACCATTAAAATGAAGAGAAAATTTGATAGTGGTGCAAGTAAAAGGCGGCGGAGAAAAGAATTGGCCGAGGAAGCATGCACCAACTCAAAGAAAATATATTCGTTTTCAAAAAAATCACAAAACACAGTTCAAATTGAACAAGCAAACCAAACTCAAAGTGTGAGTGACAATGGTAACATTGAAAATATAGTTGTTCCAATTGCAGAAGACCCAATTTTGGACCAACAACCAGCAGGAAATTTAAATATTATAAACCAGGAACGGGTTGAAATCTAAATCTCATTACAGGAAAATGCAGGTGAAAATAAAATTCGAGATATGGAAACAGAGATAAATAATCAGATTCATCAAGGTAATCTGTTCAATTTTATTGACATTGGGATTATCAACAAGAACAATTCTTGTAAAGTGAACTCTTTTCTTAAGGTTACTTGCTTTGAAATTCCAAATAATATCGTTAAAGACTCTAATCATCATGCATTTCCTTATCGTTTCTTAAACAAAACTCTTGCAAATGGAGAAACATGCAAAAGAGACTGGTTGTGCTTGAGTGTTGAAAAACAATCTTTGTATTGTGCACCATGTTTCCTTTTGAACAAAAATGCTGCAAATGTGTCATTTTTCTCTAGTTCTGCCGGATGGGGCATCAGTAGAGGTTGGAGAAGATTGAAAGATCGTATTCCGTCGCACGAAAGTTCAATTTACCATAAAGAAAACTATGTTGTATGGAAATCTGCTAGTAGAGCAGCATTATGTGAAACTTCAGTGGATAATTAATTTTTATCAGAACTCAAGACTGAAACTGAAAATTGGAAAAAATTATTCCAACGTATTCTAAATGTTATTATTTTTCTTTCTGAACGTGGATTAGAACTTTTTGGTTCTAACCAACGAATAGGTGATCAAGCGAATGGAAACTTTTTAGGTATTATTGAGCTTCTTAGCAAATATGACCCATTTTCAGCTGAGCATGTTAAACATGTTCGAGAATCACAACAGTGTAAGCAGCGAATGCAAGCTCATTATCTTTCAACACGAATTCAGAACGAATTTATTGATATTTGTGGTTCACATGTTCAAACAGTAATCCTCCACAAAATTGTGAAAGCAAAATATTTTTCAATAAGAGTTGATGCTACTCCAGATTGCTCGTACAAGGAGCAAACTACTCTGGTTATTAATTATGTTAAAATTTTAGATAGTTCAAACTTTTCAGTTGAAGAAAGATTTATTTTATTTGACAATTTTTCAAAAAAACTGGAAGAGAAATCGCTGCTCGAACACTAGAAATATTGAAAGCTTTGAAGCTGGAATTCGAAGCCTGCATTGGTCAAGCTTACGACAACGGTGCTAATATGGCTGGAAAGTATAACGGGGTGCAAGCGGTTTTGATGCAACAAAATCCAAACTGTATGTTTTCTAGCTGCGGAAATCACTCATTAAATTTAGTTGGTGTCGATTGCGCTGAATCATGCAAAGAAGCAGTAACTTATTTTGGAACAATTCAGCAAATGTACAATTTATTCAGTAGCATTCCTCAAAGGTGGGAAATTTTAAAACAACATCTTCCTGTTTCGTTGCATGGAATGTCCAAAACAAGATGGTCAGCACGGATTGATGGTGTTAAACCAGTTGCACAACATTTGAACTCAGTAAGAAGTGCTTTATATGAACTTGGGGTGCTATATTTAACAGCCCAGGCTAAAATGGAACTCAATGCTATTCAAAAGTATATTTCCAAATTTGATTGCATTTTGATGTCGCCTATCTGGATGAAGCTACTCACAATGATTCATCAGACAAGTCTAATCATCGAGGCACGCCAAGCCACTCTTGATATTGAAAATGATAACATTGAAAATCTATGTAATGACATTCAAAGGTTGCGTGAACAGCTTGATAAGATTTTAAATGAGTCAAAATTTGTTGCAAGAAGTATTGGTGTTTCATGTGAGCTTTTAACTAATCGTCATTTTTTAAGTCAAGATAATGCTGAGTTGTATTTTAAAATCAATGTATATTTTGTCATCATTGACTCAATTCAATCTGGCCTCACGCGACGATTTCAGTCGTTACAAGAAATTTGTAAACTTTTTGGATTTCTCTGGCAGTTTAAAAATTTGAATGACGAAGATCTTGTATTGGCTGCTCAACATTTTCAGCACAAATATGACAAAGAAATCTCACAAGAAATTGAAAATGAGGTTTTATGTCTTAAAAGAATCTATGGTACTAATTTTAAACTAGACTGCACACCAAAAAAATTGCTGGAAGAAATACTTGGACTTGGTCTTTCCAAACATTACAATTGCATTACGAATTTTTATCAGCTTGCCTGCATCGACGGCTTCGGGCAAACGCACATTTAATGTTTTAAGGCAGATAAAAAATTATCATCGTTCAACTATGGGGCAAGAACGGTTGAATGGACTTGCTATGTTGAATATAAATTGTGATATTGCACGAAAACTAGATTTTTCAAATATAATTTCTGCATTTTCAGAACAAAAAGCAAGAAAAGCGTTTTTAAAACTAATTAAAACTAATTCATTCTGTTATAGTTACTTTTAGTGAATTTGTTTAGATTTCATTTTCAAAATGTGACATTAATTAACTATTCATTAATTACATATAATTACATATCGAAATAATTACATATCGAAAAAAACCAAATAATAAAAACCAATTAATAATTATTCATGCATGAATCATTCATTTGTGAAATCTGAATTGTAACATTCACAATAAAGTAACAGTGTAACATTTCACTCATACGTCGTACCTTCTTAATTCCCAAGCCTCCCCAAAAATGCGTTTTTAGTAGATAAGCGCGTCTCTTGGCTAGTTGGCTTGATAAAACGTACAAAAAGCGCCACATTTGTGTGTGACGGTCTGTCTAATTTATTGCATTTAGTCTTAAAGTTAGACATTTATCTGGTCCTGATCTATCTGGAGACTTAAATGGCTTTGCATTATCTTGCGTCGCGTTTTGCACAAAAATGTTTCTTTTGGGGCCTCCGATTTTTAACTGGCCGAGGCCTCTCCAAACCTCTGAAAGGCCCTGTATATATATATATATATATATGTATATATATATATATATATATATATATATATATATATATATATATATATATATATATATATATATATATATATATATATATATATATATATATGTATATATATATATATATATTTATACATATATATAGATATATATATATATATATATATATATATATATATATATATATATATATATATATATATATATATATATATGTATAAATATATATATATATACATATATAATATATATATATATATATATATATATATATATATATATATATATGTATATATATATATATATATATATGTATAAATATATATATTTATATATATTTATATATATTTATACATATATATATATATATATATATATATATATATATATATATATATATATATATATATATATATATATATATATATATATATATATATATATATATATATATGTATAAATATATATATATATATATATATACATATATATATATATATATATATATATATATATATATATATATATATATATATATATATATATATAATTATTAAGAAGTCGTCGACTATTTCAATATTTTCGTCGACTATTTTTATTTTTGTAAAGACTAATCTTTATTTACGCGTATTCTTTTTTTGTTGTCGAACTTTTTGTTCTTTTCTTAAATATTAAATAAATTTATGCAATAAGATAGTTAAGATGAAAAAAATCAATTTTTAATTGTTATACACTAACAATTAAAAAATCGTTATACAATAACAAATACAATAAGATATACAAGTATAAAAATTAAAAACATAATAAATAGAACGCGGAGACTCGCAGAAAACCTTTAGGTCTTATCATTGAGAACCGCTCGTGAATATTGATTGCATTAAAATAACATTAAATAAAGAATAAAACAAAAATGTCAAAGAAATAATTTGCGAAAAACATAAGTTTCGTAAGAATATATAAATAAATTTGTAAAGAAATAAGAAATTATTATTGATTCTTATATATAAATACAAAGTTTGTATAAAATAGCATAAACACATAAAAGTGAATCCGATATTATTGTATATAAAAAAACACAAAAAACTAACAGTTCTATTTGTGTTAATAAGTGGTAATAAATATTATTGGTATTATGGCAGTTACACTTGTTGAAATTAAAAAAATGATTAAAGACTTGTTTACAAACTACAAAGTGGAGACAGAAGCAGCACTAAAGCAACAAGAAAGCAACTTTATAAGTATCGTTAGTTCAAATACCAAAATCTTAAACGAAAGATTAGACAAAGTAGAAAAAAATATTTTAGAGAACGCTAAAAAAATATCAACACTGGCAGCAGAAGTTGAAGAAATAAAGGTTAGTCTAAATTTTCATGAGGAACTTATTGAAAAAAAAATAAAAAATTCGTTAAATATTTTCATAAAAAATAAATCTAACCATAATGAAATACAAAATAACAACACTGACCTCAAAAAAATTAACAGTAAGCTAAGAGAAATTGAAGATAGAACAAGGAGGAACAATCTAAGAGTTGACGGAATTAAAGAAGATGATAATGAAACCTGGCTGGAAAACGAACAAAAGGTAAAAGAAATATTTAATGAGTACTTGGGTGTAGAAAATGTAAAAATTGAAAGAGCACATAGAGCTGGTAAAAAAGGTGTAAAAGAGAACAGAACAATTGTTCTGAAATTATTGGACTTTAAAGATAAGGAGGAAATTTTAAGAAATGCCTCAAAGTTAAAAGGAAAAAATATATATATTAACGAAGATTACTGCATGGAAACGAATAAAATAAGAAAGGAATTGCGTGAAAAATGAAAATTGAAAGAAAGTTGGGAAAATTTGCTTACATATCATACGACAAGCTTATTGTACGCGAGTGGAAGACAAATAAAAAGTAATTTTTTACTTATTTTATTTACGGTTTATTTAATTCTTATTTATTTTTTTGGATATTTTTATTGATAATATATCAATAACGAAACCCTTTAAAATGAATCCGAAAACGTTTGAATACGAAAGTCTTTTTGAAAACATTTCAGATAAGGTTTTTAAATTAAATGATCAAAATACTTTTGATAAATATGACCTTGACAAAAACTTTATTGATAACTTTTCATTAATGAATATGGAAACACCTTACGTGTTTCCAGATGAAATAAATAAGTATTTAAAAGATGTTAAACGTTATGAGAGCCTTTCTCTTGTTCATCTTAATATTAGAAGTGCTAAAGCAAATTTTGAAAACTTTAAAATATTCTTAGAGGAAAGCAATTTTATTTTTAATATTATTTGTTTAAGCAAAACATGGTTAACTGATGACGAATTTAACGAATGCACGCTTTTTCAATTAAATAACTATGAAGGAGTGCATTTGCAGAGGAAATCGAAAAAAAGAGGCGGGGGTGTTGTAATTTACATCAAAAATAGTTTGCGGTATAAATTACGAAACGACCTATGCACATCTGATTACGACAGGGAATTTGTTTCTATTGAAATCATTAGCAATGACTCTGAAAATACCTTAATATCATGCTGTTATAAACCGCCACAAACATCAACAGAAATATTCTCAAATCATCTTCAAAATATTATTTTGAAAAGCTTACAAGAAAAAAAAAATTATTTATCCTAGGAGATTTTAATCTTAATGCTCTAATTTATGAAAATATTATAGAAACACAAAGTTTTTACAATAATTTATTTCAATTTGGTGTAATTCCTCTTATAAATAAACCAACCCGAATTACAAAAAATTCGGCAACACTAATAGATAATATACTAACAAATTCTTTATTTGAAATCTCCTTAAAGAAAGGAGTAATTAAAACATCTATATCGGATAACTTTCCGATATTTATTTCAATAAGTACCTCAAATAAAATTAAAATAAATGAAAAAAAAACAATCACAAGGCGACATTTTTCTTTGGATAGCCAGGTTAACTTTAAAAGTGAGTTAGCCAATATTGATTAGTCAAATTTAGAATCCTCAAATGATACCAATTTAATGTATAATACGTTTATAGATATTTTTGTATTTCTTTATGATAAACACTTCCCCAAAGTAGTAAAAACAATTAAATTTAAAGACATAAATTTACCTTGGTTGAGTAAAGGTCTTAAAAAATCATCTAAGCGGAAACAACGATTATATATAAAGTACCTTAAAAAAAAATGCGATAAAACAAAATCGGAATACAAGAGTTATGTAAGTCTCTTTGAGAAAATTAAAAAAACCGCTAAAGCTAATTATTATAATAAACTACTTGATAAGTGTCAAACAGATTCTAGGAAAACATGGCAGTTATTAAATGAAATTATTGGTAAACCAAAAATTAACAAACCGTGCTTTCCTAAAACTTTAAAAATTAACCACAAAACAATTCATGATGAAAACGTCATTGCAAATGAGTTTAACAACTTCTTTGTTAATATAGGATCTAAACTTGCTTCCCAAGTTCCTAGTGCAAATAAATCTTTTGATAAATATTTAGATCGTAATAAAAAAGAATTGAATAACGAAAAACTAACCATGTTAGAATTTAACAATGCTTTTAAAAGCCTAAAAAGAAACAAAGCAACCGGAATCGACGACATCAATAGCAACATTATAATTAATTGCCAAAACATAAAATATTTAAACACTCCTTAGAGGAAGGTATCTTTCCTGATAAACTGAAAACTGCGAAAGTAAAACCTATTTTTAAATCAGGAGATACAAGTGAAATAGGCAATTACAGACCAATATCAATATACTTTCTACATTCTCTAAGATACTTGAGAGAATTATGCACAATAGAGTATATACTTTTTTTGAAGAAAATAATTTTATTTACTCCAAGCAATTCGGCTTTCAAAAAAATACATCAGCTGAACACGCAGTCCTTCACCTAGTTGATGAAATAAAAAACTCTTTTACAAACGGGAAGTTACATTAGGTGTATTCATAGATCTCTCTAAGGCTTTTGATACAGTCGACCACAAAATATTATTATCAAAGCTTAACATGTATGGCATAAGGGGTAGAACGAACAAATGGATAGAAAGCTACTTAGATAAACGTGTGCAATCTATATACTATGGAGATAATAAACTCTCTAATCCTTCCATATTAAAGTGTGGTGTTCCTCAGGGTTCAATACTTGGGCCTTTGCTTTTTTTAATCTACGTTAACGATCTCTATCGGGCATCAAAAAGAATTTCAACTATAATGTTTGCTGATGATAGCAACTTTTTTATCTCCGGAAAAATTATAAACGAACTGTGCGAGAAATGAATCAAGAATTAGTAAAAATTTCTGGATGGTTTAGGGCAAATAAACTTTCTATTAACTTAAGTAAAACGAAGTTTTCTTTATTTCATCCTTCTTATAAAAAAAAAGAAGTTGAATCTTCTCGTCCAAAATTGTTTATTGAAAATAGAGAAATAAGTAGGGATAATGTTACTAAATTTTTAGGTGTTTTTATTGACGAAAATCTAAATTGGAATAAACATATCGCTTATTTAAGTAGTAAAATATCTAAAAGTATCGGAATAATATACCGATCACGCCATTTATTGAAAAAGCCGCTACTCAAACAAATCTACTATAGCTTTGTTCAAAGTTATTTAAATTACGGTAACACAGCATGGGGTAGTATCTATAAAAGCAAACTAGAACCTCTCGTATCCTATCGAACCTATCGTAAACAGAAGCATGCTATACGAGTAATTAATTTTATTAAAATAAAAACGAACACACAAAGCCTCTTTTTGAACAGATGTCTTTACTAACATTGTTTGTACTAAATATATATAATGTTCTAAGTCTTATGTATAATAGTAAAATGCAAAAAACTCCTTCAATTTTGTATAATCTTTATAAACAAAAGCCCGAGTATAAATACCTGTTGCGCACAAATAGTACCCTTTTTGAGCCTTCATGCAAAACTAAGCTTGTGCAATTTAAAATTACTTATCGTGCACCTCATATCTGGAATAAGTTTTTATTACTTAATCAAAATATTATTAACCTTGAAAACTTAAATGGCTTTAAAAAAACTATTAAAAAGAGTATTTTAAAGTATAAAAATTTACTTACTGATTTTTTCTAAATTTGTTTATTGCTAGCTTCTTATATAAACTCTTATTTTTTAATATACTTTAATATATATTTCAAACATTGCGTTAGCAATAAACGTGGTAATATTAAGAAAAAGTAACGATACATGTTTGTATAATTGTTATCTTACACTTTAATACAATTATAATGTAACAATTTAACGTAAAAATTTTGTAAATATTTTAATTTTTCTATACGTATATATATATGTTTGACAATGTGAAGCGGTTCTTGATGATAAGACCTTTTGGTCTTCTGCAAGTTTCCCGCGTTCTTCTTAGAGTTCGTATTATAGAAGTTTGTTTATTATTTATGTTTGTGATTTTTTTTTTTTATATTTATATGTATATTCAATCCTAACGAATCTTTATTATGTAATCACGAAAATGTATACTATGGAACAAAAAATACATAACAAAAAAAAAAAAAAAAAAATATTACAATATATAATTAGTTTCATATTTTCATAAAATGTTAAAAATATAAAGATAAGTCTTCAAAAGATAAAAATATTTTCTTAAGTTTTTTTGTGAGTGAAATATAATTCCATTCATTCATTCATTCTGACGTTTTCGGTATGTGTTTTTTGGATCCACTAGATAACTTGATATATTAAAGAAAGTTAATATTTTTTTGCCGAATCCCCCCCCCCCCCCCCCACACACACACATTTTGCCATACGCTTTTTTGAATACCCTCTACCTCCATAAAAGTACCTACGCTTTTAACCTACCAATCCAACATTTTATGATATTTTTTTTAATTTAGTGTCTCCATACTTTAAAAATTGACCTACTGTCCCCCCTTTTCATATACGCTATTTGCAGACCCCCTCTTCCTCTCCGAGCGTACTTACTTTATGGACGATCCCTTAATGGTCCGTGTTTGTTAACCCCGGAGAAACTTTTCTTCATACAAATAATTTCTATTAACGATTTAATTTCGAATAAAGTTTTATTTTAGATTTGTTAATGCAACATTTTACCCAATTTTTATGAAATATTTTGTTACGTTTTTTTTTTAAATTTTCGGTGCCAAAAATTTAATGAGATACTTTAACAAAATACTTCATAAAAAGTCTGTGTATTGAAAATATTAAAACACGTATATCTTTGGAACTAAATAAACTACAGAAGTGGTTGAAACCATTTAGAAAAAGAAATATCTTAAGGAATCTAATGCATTTTAAATTATAAAAAATAGCAATGTCATTATTTCCCGTACGGAAAATTTCCATGGAAAATCCATGAAAAAACCCATGGAAAAACCATGGGTATTTGGAACACGTTTCCATGGAATTCCATGGGTTTTCTGTGGAAATTCCATGGGTTTTCTGTGGAAATTCCATGAGTTTTCTATGGAAAGGTGTTTCAAATTCCAATCGAAATTTCATGGTTTTCCATAGTAAAATGGCATGTTTAGTTTTTTTAACGTTTTTTGAAATATTATGTTATTGCCATAAAAACCTTCAAGCGCAAAATTTATCACGCAACTCGCTAATATATTATTGAGTTCTCCTAATCTATGGATCGCTTTCGCGCAACGAAAGCAATAATCAAAATAAAATTTAAATCTTGTTGAATTCTACAAATCTTTGAAAAGTAATAGCTATAGTGTACCTAAAACATTAAAATTTGACTTCACCACAATATTTAATACATGCATATGTATAAGCATACTGAAAATAAATGCAACAATAAACTAGAAGTAATATCATATTATCATAAGTGATATACATTGAAAAAACAATTGAAATAGATCAAGAAAACAATTTTAAAGAAAGTATAACAATTTACATGTTTAATATTTTTAAATATTAAACATATAAATGTTTTTATTTATGTTTAAAAATTAATTTTTATATATAAATTTTACTAGTTTTATTGCATAAAAATAGTATATATAAATCTGATAACTCAGGCTTCAACAAATTAAAATGAAAAAAATATATATACCAACAGTACATTTACATACCGACAGTTACTGTCGGCACATAGTCATCCATCAATTACAAAGCAATATATCGATTAGCGCTTTAAATTATTTAACGTTAATATATAAGGTAATATATTACTTTGTATTTAATTGGCGGCTGACTATGTACTGACAGTGCACACACAAAACATTATTGAAAAAGTTTATGAAAACAAAAAATCCTCTGGTTCATTTTCATTTATGTTATTTCCTTTGATTTGCTTTCTTCGAAATTTCCCTCCTACTTCTTGCAGCTTTTCAGCCATTGATTGCTTTATCAACCGGTTTTCGGTTCCAGGAAATTGTTTGTGAACATACGCTACATAACAAAACAGAAAAAACATAACTTTTAATACATGAAGTAACACATTGTACAATGGCATAAAAACGTAACGTTTAGCAATGCCAATTAAAAAAATGATGCAGAAATTATTTTTTACAAATAGATTATTTTAAAATTTAAAACAATCTTACCCAAAAGGGCAGAAACTTTCGAGGGATCCAATGCTGGCTTTGCTACTTTTAAAGGGTTACCAACACGACCTGTTACAGAACTCTGTGCCATCTCCTCTTGGGTGAATATCAATTCCATGAGTAGCCTAGCGAGATGAGTTGATCTTGTCGAACTAATCATTGAAAGCTTTTTTTTTGATACTTTCACACCAAACCCCAGATCAAACTAAAAAGTTATAATATGTAAAACTTGCAACAACCATGCAAAACTAATTTTGATTGGTTAAAATATACCAAAATCCAAAATTTGCACATATGGCAACTAGATACGATTAAGCATGTTGATCTAATGTTGATCATACTAGCTTTTGACAAATACAAATGTTTTCTCTTTCTGATGTATCTACTTGAAAAAAGTGTCAAACTTAATAGATCAGCAATGTAGATGCAAAAGCCGAATCTTTTTCAATGCCAATTAATCATTAACCCTTTTGAATGATGCACCTATATTGTTTGAGCATATTGCAGATGAATGACAGTAACCAGGAGAGTTTTGACATTCGTCTAAATCTTCAATAAAAGTACTATTAAACACTAAACCAGTCGTAAGATTTTTATCCTGAAGAAGTTGGATTCCACTGTCAATAGCTTTTGATAAACGATGCACAAAATATAAAGCTCTTATATAGGCACTCTTGTCATAACCTAACCTTAACAGTTAGGTTAAGACAAGGCTACAAGAGTTTTCAGCAATTTTCAAATTTTAACAAAACAGCCTAAACTCTAATAATGAACAATAATACTATTAAATAGTAGTAGTAAATAATTAATAATTAAATAAATCAAACTAAAACCAGTACCATAATTTATATTTATACCTCATCAACTTGTTGAACCCCAGTGACATTCTGCACAGCATTTGATGGAGATGGTGAATTCACAATAAATTGTTGATTCTCTAATAAAGCAATTATAGGTTTATAAATTTATTTCTAAAAGTAAAGTTAAACTAAATATAACTCTAATGACAAAGTTGATTTATTTCCAAAAGTACAGGTAAACAAAATATAACCCTAATAGCAAAGTAGATTTAGATAAAGCAAAGAAATATACTTTTATTTTTTAACTGAAAATCATCTTAATCAACACAACGATAGGGAATTAAAAATAGGGACTTAATTCAAAGTATGGCAAATAGCGACTTAATCTATAGTATGGATCTTTTTGGCAAAACATGAATTGATAGAATTAACACTTAACTAATAATAACAAAAGGCAAAAAACATTTTCTTGAATTTTCTTGAATTAGACAAATTTTAAAAAAATTCTTACTTTGCTGATTTGCTGATGGTTTGTCCATAGATCTACTCAGCGTTGTTGTACTTGCAGCAAAACTTGCTATTTGGGGTGAAGCAATAGAAGACGCATTGTCTAAACACTCTGAACTAGATTGGCTCAGAGCCGATGTTAGGCTTTGTTGCATGAACCCAAACATCTTTGGTAAATCTATAACAACAAAAATTGAAAAAGGAAATACATGTAGCATATATATATATATATATATATATATATATATATATATATATATATATATATATATATATATATATATATAAATC